AACATATAAAATATATAATAAAATTTAAGGAAAATTATAAGAAAAATGTTAATAAAAATTTGTTAATATTACAATATACTTTTTAATATAAAGAGTTTCTTTAAAGCTAATAGTCATGAGCATCTACTTAATAATACTTGAATAAACCTTGATTTAAAGGTTAGTTAATAAAAAAAATTTTATTTTATAACTTTATTTAATAAATATAAAAGTTATTAACTTAATAATTTTTTAAAATATTAAAAATAAAAAAATTTACTATTAAAATCATAAAAAAAAATCTATATACACTCTATCCTTAAAGTATAATGTTAAAATTAATTAAATAATATAATATTTTTTTTAATAAGGTTATTAATTTATTTATAAATATAATTATTTTTTATTTAAAAAAAACTTTGAACTAATTAATATAGTATATTAAACTAATACTGTATTATTGCTAAATTTAACAATTACTGTATTTGCTTTATACTTACAGTAAGATACCTTTTTTTAATAAATTTAATTGATTTAATAATAACTAAACAACCAACAAATATCGTAATTGCAGTCAAATTATCGTTATATAGTTTAATATTAATAATTAATTATATAGTTATATATACGTATTTAAAGATTTTGCGTATACGTAATTGCTAAATTGGCTGTCAGTTTTTCAAAAACCGGATAAAAACATGATATAATTGCTATATAAATACAGTAATTGAATTTTTTTTTATAAAATGAGAAGGTATGTGTAATTATCTTTTTTTAAAAAAAAAGATGTTATACAGCATAAATTAATAAAATTAATAAAAAAATAATTCTACGTACGTACTTGATAGCAATAATTTTTATCGTTATCACAATCCAGACTTTTCAAGTATTATAAATTATATGTACATAAATATAAAAAGTTAGAAATAATATGTCAACAACCATGTAAGGAATCTTATTACGACATTGTAATTGAGCTAACAATTGAGCTAACGCTAATGTATATAAAATTTCAAATGTGAACTGATACGGATTAGCGAACTTTAAAGACCAGACCATGTGATAATTAGCACTTCACAAGGTATGTACTGTACGTACGTACGTACATACAGCTTTATCGTTATACATGTCAAAACCTTTATACATATATTGACAGAAACTGTGAAACTAATTATCACATGGTAAGAATAGCACCAAATTTCTGGTTAACACGGAAGAATATCATTTCTATTGTGACATAATTATTTATAGAAATTGTTACCGTTACGAGAAATACGTATAATGTTAAGTATAATGCAGTAATGGGAAATGATAATGATACATAACGATAACGGTAACAACGATGCTCAAATGACTTCATTAAATATACAGGTTTTAGCCCGAACCAAATCGAGTTTTTGTTCATAAATTCATATGTCGTTTCATCGTCACAAGATCAAATTTGGGGATAACAATTCTCATGATTGTTGTCGCATGGCCACAAGGAAAAATTTTAGGTAATACTGTTAGGAAAAAAAAAATAAAATCGTTATGAAAATTAATGGCAAACTAAACAGGAATTTCAATAATTGGCGTAAAAAATGTCATAATGTATACATTATTTTTCCCAATGGATAATATACGTAAAGAGTAATTATAGTAATTATGAATATATATATATATATATATATATGTATAGTATGAATAGTTAGGAAAACTTAATATTAATGGTGATAGTTAGGAAAACTTAATATTAATGGTGATAGTTAGGAAAACTTAATATTAATGGTGATAGTTAGGAAAACTTAATATTAATGGTGATAGTTAGGAAAACTTAGTTTTATATGAATACATATACAGTATATAACCTTAATGCTGTTACTTTATTGATTTTTAGCATATGTATTTTTCTATATCTTGATGTATCTTGATGCCTTTACTCTTTTATTGATTATTCATACGAGTCGATCATCAACTAGTGGTTGATTTCTTTGTCTGTTTTATCCATTCTGGTATATTTCCATATGATTCCCAATTACGTACGTACGTATCGGTATGTGCTGTACGTACGTACGTATGTACGAAAGACAAAAAACCAAAGTCTAAACAAATTACTAGTTTAAATTTAGAGCTTCCTTAACGTTAACAAAGTTACGTATATCGATACGTATATATCTGATATTGACTGTTAATTAAAACTATGTATTTTTTAAATATGAGGACTTAATACATGTTTTAACAAAAAACTAAAATTTTTACGTATCTTAAATATATAAAATTTTTACGTATCTTAAATATATAAAATTTTTACGTATCTTAAATATATAATTTTTAATACGTACAGTAACTTACAAAGAAAACTTCTAAAACTAGTAATTTATTTAGATCCATCATCTCATTTCGACTACGTAACTCGACTGATGTTACGTTACGATTGATGTGTTTAAATATTTGATATATTTGTAAATAAGTTAAAGAGAAAGAGGATGATGTTCCTTTAAATCATCAACATCAAAATTTCCTAAATCATAATAAGTGAAACACAAAATTATTTGTTGAGTTCAACACATCCTCCTTCCCCCCTGCGACTCCACAAATCATAACACCGGGGAAGTGTGTTATCGTACGTACACGTACACACGTACGTACGTACGTAGTCCCTGATTGATATCGTATTGTGTCATGTATGTACATATATGCGTGAGTACGTATGACAGACAAGAATAGCAGCCCAATCAATTTTCGTTCTTTCCAACAAATTGCTATTTATAGAAAAATGAATCAAAAATAACATTACGATTATATATCATATCAATAGTATGTATATCGATATCATATCGATATGAACGTGTTAGAAATACAAAATCATATAGTAATTTTTGAGAACTAAAAAATTTAATTCATGCGTAACAATTCCGTTAACAATACCGTTAACATATCACCGTTAACATTACCGTTAATCGGTATATTTTTTATCATTTTTTAATGTTTTCACGTGACAAATTTCGAACACTGGTCTAGACTCATAGATGCCTCCTAGTTTATTTAGAAAAGTTATTAAAGTTTCTTATAAATATTTGATAGATTGCTTCAACCTTTATGAAAGAGATATCTCGTTTTTTTAAATAAGAGCTAAATAAGTTTCGGTACAAATTTTGCCATTGGTTTTTTTTTCTGTTGATTAAGTGATACAATTATGTTCTCTTAACGGACTTGGCCGACAACAGACCAAAAATCTATTATCCGTCAGATACTAAAATCTATTATCTGTCAGACACTGAATCCGTTATCCGTTGGATACTAGTAAAATCCACCAGATATCTACGTATTAGATATCCATTAAGTTTAATCTATCGCAAATGTGATGGGTTTATAGCTCTTATGTATTAGTTATTTGACCTCGAATATAAATCCACTTATAATACTGTAATACTGTAATAATAGGATAACCTTTACATTTGTCGCATTATCACTACGTACTATATAGCTTAGTTCTTGAATAATAATAATTTATATCCAAATATAGTATACAAAGTCCGGGTATATATGTTATATTCTGTGTTAAATAGCGGCTGTAGTTTCTTCAATATAAATTTATGCTCCATAAGCTCCTTCAATTATTGAAAGTCCGAACTTTCAATCTAAACTCAATTAACAAACGATTAGATCATTGTTGCCTCCACAAAAGAGAAAATGTATGAGTCATAGTTTGAATTGTCTCCAAATGAAACATTAATAAATTCTTTAAATGAAACATTGGCAAATTCCACATTAGTAAATTCTTTGAATGAAACATTGGTAAATGTCCGAAACTTTTATATATTTAGAAAATGTTTGTGTTATGTATCTTGATCAGCCCGTAAAATTATAGATATGTCATACGTTTCTTCAGGGGTTCTTTATCTTAGCTGTTCCTTTAAGCCATTTTATTGGTACGTACGTACGTACGTACGTAATCTTTTTTCTACTGTTCTTTTGATGATTACTAAGTTATTATAAATTATTATAAATTATTATAAATTATTATAAGTTATTATAAGTTATTATAAGTTATTAGTAGCCAATTTACTAATAACCACATGTTTTACTAAACTTAGGTAATTGGTCTAATAAACTATCATCAATTATCACATGCTTTGGTACTACATTTAGCCAATTAACGAACCTTAATTATGGGTAGATAATCAACGAACACTTAGTCGTTCAAGTAATAATTTTGATCATTGACATTTATCTTAGACAGTTCTTCAACGACGTTTACTAGTGTTTCTTGACAGTTCTATTCATAGTTCTGTTCATAGTTCTGTTGGTTTATAGTTTTGTTATAATTCTGTTCATAGTTCTGTTCATAGTTCTGTTATAGTTCTGTTATAGTTCTGTTTATAGTTTTGTTATAATTCTGTTTATAGTTTTGTTATAATTCTGTTTATAGTTCTGTTATAATTCTGTTCATAGTTCTGTTTATAGTTTTGTTATAATTCTGTTCATAGTTCTGTTTATAGTTTTGTTATAATTCTGTTCATAGTTCTGTTATAGTTTAGTTCATAGTTCTGTTATAGTTCAGTTCATAGTTCTGTTATAGTTCAGTTCATAGTTCTGTTATAGTTCAGTTCATAGTTCAGTTATAGTTCTGTTCATAGTTCAGTTATAGTTCTGTTTATAGTTTTGTTATAATTCTAGTTTTTGTTTATAGTTTTTGTTTACAGTATAGTTTTTGTTTATAGTTTTTGTTTATAGTTCTGTTTATAGTTCTGTTTATAGTTCTGTTTATAGTTTTGTTCATAGTTTTTGTTAATAGTTTTTGTTAATAGTTTTTGTTAATAGTTTTGTTCATAGTTTTTGTTCATAGTTTTTGTTAATAGTTTTGTTCATAGTTTTTGTTCATAGTTTTTGTTCATAGTTTTTGTTAATAGTTTTGTTCATAGCTTTTGTTCATAGTTCTGTTTATAGTTTTTGTTTATAGTTTTGTTCATAGTTTTTGTTCATACTGTAGATCTGTTTATAGCTCTGGTCATAGCTCTGGTCATAGCTCTGTTCATAGCTCTGTTCATAGCTTTGTTCATAGCTCTGGTCATAGCTCTGGTTATAGCTCTGTTCATAGCTCTGGTTATAGCTCTGTTCATAGCTTTGTTCATAGCTCTGGTCATAGCTCTGGTTATAGCTCTGTTCATAGCTCTGGTTATAGCTCTGTTCATAGCTTTGTTCATAGCTCTGGTCATAGCTCTGGTTATAGCTCTGTTTATAGCTCTGGTCATAGCTCTGTTCATAGCTCTGGTCATAGCTCTGTTCATAGCTCTGTTCATAGCTCTGGTCATAGCTCTGATTATAGTTTTCGGTAAGTTCTTTGGTCGGTGGGGTCCTTGGCGTTTCCTTAGGGGTATGTCGTTTATTACGTAATTTCTCTTTATTAAAATCCCTCCTGGGTGATCGAATTAGCTACCAAACGTAATTTTTTATGTATAATATATAGATGTGATATGACTGCTAACCTCCCCTCTAAAATTACGTAATGAACGCCACTCCCTTAGTGTTTTTTTTAAAGTGATATTTTCTGACTTCTTTGACACATTTCTTAGAATTCTTTAACAAAGTTTCCTAGAGGGTGTTTTAATGGATATTTATTTGGTGTTTCTTTGATTTTTTTGGCTATGTTTCATTGATTTTTGACTATGTTTCATTGATTTTTGACTATGTTTCATTGATTTTTTGACTGTTTCATTGATTTTTTGACTGCGTTTCTTTAACATTTCTCATAGGTTCTTTAGTGAGTTTTACGGCGTGTTTCTCGATGGATTCTTTGATACTTTATTTTTAGAAAATCTTTAATGACGTTTTTTTCACTGTTTCTTGGCTTTATTTTATTTTATTATTTTATTTATTTATTTTTTTTATTTTTTAAATCATAAAAAAATCTGATCTGATTACTTAAATTTATATATATATATACTGTATAAATTAAAATTCTGATTATATACTTAAATTTATTAATTAATAATAATATAAATAAAAAAAAATCTGATTATACAACTATTTATGTAATAAATTTTGATTGGTCGTGGCAAAAGTAATTTACCACCCGGGGATGGCACCTAGACAACTCCCCAGCGAATAATGTGCTTTTTTAATAGAAAAATGTTTAGTGAATGATATAATATTAATATTAAAAAAAAAAAAAAAAAAAAGATCGGTTTCATTAATAACATTTATGTATATAAATTGTGGAACAATTATCTTTTGGAAAAAAAAACACTTCTCAATCAAATAATACGTCACCAATTTAATTCTGAATCTGAACAAATTCTTTTTCTTTATCCACATCACATGTACGTAATTTGCTCGTTATGGCAGATACCGCTCAAAAATCTCCCTCAAGAAGACTCTCTGCAGTCTCTTCAACTTCTACTAACGGTACTTTATCTGTCCGAAATCGTACTTATCAAACAAATTCTTCTAATAATGCTGTAACAAATGACGATTTCCCTTCATGGTCTCAACAATCGCCTGTGAGAAGTACTTCTACAAATTCACAAAGGGGGTCTTCACCGTCTAAGAAAACTAGCGGTAATCCGGTAAAAAAAACAAAAGATGGGAGAATGGATATGGGATTGTTAGAAACCGCTCATCTTGATCAATCAACCCCATCCTCATCTAGTCAATCAATTCTATCTCGTAAAAAATCTAGTCGGAGGAAACTTAGCGAAGAACAAAATAAAGAAACTTATAAAGCTGTATCTGATGTATTAAAAACATTTATGGATCTGGAAATGGTTGAAGATAAACTTGCTGACCAGACTAGACAAGTCTTGGTAAAAATGGAAAAAAGTTTTTCGGTTAGAGGAGGCGAAAGTGATGATGATGATTTACAAAGCAAAGTTGTTTATTTTGGGTAATTTATTTCTTTAGTCTTTTTATTTGGTCTTTTTTTTGGTCTTTTATTTGGTCTTTTATTTTATTTGTCAATTCTTTTTTTCTATATTATTTTTAATTCTTATAATTTATTCTAATTTATTCTAAAAAAAAAATTAAAAGAAGCGATAAACCACGAAGTGCAAATTCTACAAAACGTGTACCTTCAACTCCTAATACTCCTATAAAACCTTCTCTTAATCGACGTACAAGTCAAGAAATTGTTAAACCATCACTCACACACTTACCTTCTTATGAAAGAAAATCAAGTGGTCATGTTAAATACGCTAGTGATGGTACCAGTTTATCAACTAATGGCCCGATTGAGCCATCTATAAGTAAAAAAATTTTAAAGGAATCACGTTCAGATGAAAAACTTAAAAGAGAAAAACGAAAAACGATGGGTGGTGTTTCTTTGGATATAAAAGCTAGTGCAATGGCACAATTGGAAAAATTTGTTTCATCTGAACATTTACGAAAGTCAAAACCTGTTAATGATTCTGTATCCGATGATGATTATAATACTATTCGTGGTCGAACTCCCTCTCCCCTACTTCCTACTGTTCGTAAAACAAAAACCATGCCTATAACTCCTCCTCCTTCAATTCTAAATTCGAGATTACCTCCACCTGCTCCTATTCGTAGTGTTAGTTATAATTCTTCTTCAAAACACTCTAAAAAATCTGATCATGATAATCATTCTTCTATCACTTCTGAGGCAAGAAGTCGAAGATTAACTGTTAATGGTTCTACTAATTCTTCGAGTATATCTCCTCCAAAGTCAATCAATAGTAGGACTACAACTCCAACTTCTTCTAAACGTGACTCTCTACCTCCTCCAATAAGTGATACTCAACTTCCTCCTCCCGTACCTGCTATGCCAAGTTTGCTTCCTAAATTAACAAAAGAATTATCAA